TCTCTGTCTCTAAACGGGGACATCAGATCTGACGACATCCACGTGATTATCCCAGAGATAGCCCAAGAGTTTATGAAATATAAACCAATCCATTGACATACCAGCGCCCAAACAGGGCTCCGACACCATCATCGCCAGCACCAGCGGTATTAATATCATCACTAATATAATACATAGCGAGCAGTGATCGTAAACCGTGTTTACGATGGCATCGAAAACACCTCGTTTGTTGTCGTCCACCGGCGCTGTCGTATAGACTCTGTTATATAATAGATATAAAACATGGTAGAAATGTTTGTAATCAATCAATGATTATGTTTGGGTCAATGAGTTCTTTGTAATGACCATTGGTTTTAGTTGTCATCTCAAGTGTTTAATTGACGGCTAATTAATTGATGGTTAATGTGTTGTGGAAGTGATTACAAGAATCTAATGTTTTTTATTAAGTGATTTTATTCACCAATTAATTACCTATCGATTACTCGAATCGTTTAGTGTATAAGTTATATAATGTTTACATAAGATTATGGTAACTTACGTGTAGGTTCTGTTATCATAGTAGTTAAAAGTGTAATCGTGGTCCATTTAATTTATAGCGGTTGTAATCGGCTATTTATTTTAGTTATTATTTATTGCTTATTATTTTATTATTGTTGTAATTCTTATCAAACACTATAAACACAACCAATGATTATATCATGCAATAGGATGTGGTTGTGAATCACTTTTTGTTGATTTCACTCGTGGTAAAAGTGGTGAAGATAATACATGTATTTTCTATTAAACAAAAATTATATTGACATTTGTCTCATTATACTGTATATGTATTTTAAAACATAAGAAGTGCCTAAACTTTGCCAAAAGTGTTTAAACTTATTGTCATTTAAAGTTTGAAGTGATTTTTGTTGCTAAATGTTGATAAAAGTTTTCATACTTTAAATATATCCTAATATACTATTACTTTTCCATACGTTTCCATAACTTGTGATATTAATTCTCAAGTCAAGTGATTTGAAACAATTTCTGCGATTTTATTATTTCAATGATTTTTAATGGAAAAAAACTTCTCAAATAACTAATGGATATATAGTTTTAGTAATGATTTAAAAATCCAACGAATTTTCAATATAAATATTATTTTTGATAATGAGATGCGATTATAAGTATTAATAATAGGCAAAACATGTATCACCTTGTAAAATTGCTTCAATATTTGCATATAATTATTGGGAATTTACCTTCATTGTACTTCAATTTGTATGTGTGCTCAATGAGATAATTTTCCTACAAAATGCAAATGAGATTGTTTAAAACGTACATCAATATTTTGATCATGTTGTTTTAAAATAAAAACTTTGTAAACACTTGTGAATATATTTGTTTTCCAAACTCATTGACAGTTAAATTGAAAAATAGTGAATACATGTGAAGTGAAAACCATATGTATATTAATATCAAAATATTCCGACAAAAACAAACAAATTAACTGAAAGAAAAACTTTTACCAAAATGTTTTTCAAACACCAAAACTAATACCACTATTGGATTATCACCGAAAGAATAATCATCAAAAACAATGTCTAAATTCTGTCGGATCTGTTACGGCAACAATACAAGCCTATTGAAGGTATGCGAGTGTAAGGGAACCGTTGGTTACACATGCAAACCGTGTCTCAAGAGTTACATCCAGACCAAAGTCGGCGACGATATGCACCATCACTACGACCGGTGCGAACTCTGCCAATCGCCGTACGACCTGATCATTGAGAGACAAACACCGGTCCGGTGTTTGTCTCTCAATGATCAGGTCGTACGGCGATTGGCAGAGTTCGCACCGGTCGTAGTGATGGTGCATATCGTCGCCGACTTTGGTCTGGATGTAACTCTTGAGACACGGTTTGCATGTGTAGCCAACGGTTCCCTTACACTCGCATACCTTCAATAGGCTTGTGTTGTTGCCGTAACAGATCCGACAAAATTTAGACATTGTTTAGTACTTTTTTGATGATTATTCTTCCGGTGATAATCCAATAGTGGTATTAGTTTTGGTGTTTAAAAAACATTTTGGTAAAAGTTTTACTTTCGGTTAATTTGTTTGTTTTTGTCGGAATATTTTGATATTAATATACATATGGTTTTCACTTCACATGTATTCACTGTTTTTCAATCTAACTGTCAATGAGTTTGGAAAACAAATATATTCACAAGTGTTTACAAAGTTTTTATTTTAAAACAGCATGATCAAAATATTGATGTACGTTTTAAACAATCTCATTTGCATTTTGTTGGAACATTATCTCATTGAGCACACATACAAATTGATGTACAATGAAGGTAAATTCCCAATAATTATATGCAAATTATATTGAAGCAATTTTACAAGGTGATATACATGTTTTGCCTATTATTAATACTTATAATCGCATCTCATTATCAAAAATAATATTTATATTAAAAATTCGTTGGATTTTTAAATCATTACTAAAACTATATATCCATTAGTTATTTGAGAAGTTTTTTTCCATTAAAAATCATTGAAATAATAAAATCGCAGAAATTGTTTCAAATCACTTGACTTGAAAATTAATATCACAAGTTATGGAAACGTATGGAAAAGTAATAGTATATTAGGATATATTCAAAGTATGAAAACTTTTATCAACTTTTGACAACAAACATCACTTCAAACTTTAAATGACAATAAGTTTAGACACTTTTGGCAAAGTTTAGGCACTTCTTATGTTTTGAAATACATATATAATAAGACAAATGTCGATAAGTGTTTTGTTTAATGGAAAAATACATGTATTATGTTCACCACTTTTACCACGAGTGAAATCAACAAAAAGTGATTCACAACCACATCCTATTGCATGAAATAATCATTGGTTGTGTTTATAACAATTTGATAACAATTACAACAATAATAAAATAATAAGCAATAAATAATAACTAAAATAAATAGCCGATTACAACCGCTATAAATTAAATGGATCACGATTACACTTATAACTACTATGATAACAGAACCTACATGTAAGTTACCATAATCTTATGTAAACATTATATAATTTTAAACGAGTCGAGTAATCGATAGGTTAATAATTGGTGAATAAAATCACTTAATAATAAAAAACATTATATTCTTGTAATCACTTCCACAACACATTAACTAATCAATTAATTAGCCGTCAATTAAACACTTGAGATGACAACTAAAACCAATGGTCATTACAAAAAACTCATTGACCCAAACATAATCATTGATTGATTACAAACATTTCTATCATGTTTTATATCTATTATATAACAGAGTCTATACGACAGCACCGGTGGACGACAACAAACGAGGTGTTTTCGATGCCATCGTAAACACGGTTTACGATCACTGCTCGCTATGTCTTATATTAGTGATGGTATTAATACCGCTGGCGATGATGGCGGTGTCGGAGCCCTGTTTGGGCGCTGGTATGTCAATGGATTGGTTTATATTTCATAAACTCTTGGGCTATCTCTGGGATAATCACGTGGATGTCGTCAGATCTGATGTCCCCGTTTAGAGACAGAGAGACAGTACTGATAACGATATGTATAATGTATTTTCCTGTATAGTGTATACACATAGTTAGTGAATATAAATATTGATTATAAACTCTTTGGTTCGCGAAATGTTATGTGTGTTTGCATTCAATCAATAAATAGTATATAAATTAAGTGTAGTTTTTGTTGGTATTTGTTTATTTCACAAACATTTTTATTTGTTTAACTCTTATATAGTTATCTGTAATTTTTATTTACAAATTATATAATCTGTTTGCTATCTCTTTAATGTAAATATCATTAAACTCTTGGGGTGTGAATGAAGAGAGAGAGAGAGAGAGAGAGAGAGAGGGTTAAATGTGTCGGATGCAAATTTGAATATTTCTAGTGTATTATTTACTTAACAATAGAGAGAGAGAGAGAGAGAGAGGGAGAGAGAGAGAGAGAGAGAGACTTTATAAAAACACATTGATATAAAAATCAATTGAATACACTGTGCATACAATGTATTCAATAAAAAATGTTAAATATTTAAAATATTTTCAATTAAAACTAACTCAAAATATTTATCATGTTTATAATGGCATATATTTTATAGAAATGTAATTATTAAATTAACACAAAACATGTTTATTAAAATATTTCACATATACCATATCCATAATATCGGGTGCTTATAATATGTATATACAACATGATTTACCACGTAATCCATTAATTATATTCCGTATTGTCTAACAGAAAGTTTTCTCAAAATGTTTGTCAAATGACTTTCTTTATAATATTTCACTTTAAATTCAAAAACTAAAAAACAATTTTGTAAAAATAAATTTCTCAATACATTTACCAATTCATGCATAAAAACAGTGCCTTAAAGGGTATGGAAATTGTTTGCCAGAAATATATACAATACAAGTAAAATATATGTCTCACAGAATATCGATTGAATTAAACAAAAACTATTCGGAGAGAGAAAG